GACAGGAGCCAGCGGAAGCTGTGTGTCGTGGCAGAACCTGTGCGGTCGGACCGCGGGAGGATTTGCTTGGTCAAGTTCTGCTTTTCGTTGTCAAGGTCGGGGTTTCGCTTATTTCTTCTGCCGGGGGGGGGGGGGGGGTTGTGGGATTCGACAAGACAAATATTCGGCTTCCCCAAAGGTTGTTCTGGCGGTGTTTGCTTAGATCTACTGCAACCATACCTGCAGAATAGATGCCATTGGCATTCTGAACACCTGCACGGACCGGCAGAAACACCCCTTTTGTTCCTTTCTGTTGGGTTCCATGTTACGTAGTTCTCACGGGGCCAGCTGCCCAGGAAGGACATTGAGCGGGCAGCCCAAGTGGATGCGACATGTCGGCATCAGAAGCTGCTTTCGCGTGCACAGTGGCAGCTGAAGCGACAGCAGAGGGCTCGTCGCGACTTGGCGTCCGGGGGGGTGGTGGTATGCTTGGCACCGCCTTCCTTTTGTGTGGGGCGCCTCACAATCACCCCGAAGTGAAACACTTGGTCCGAGCCCAAGTAAAGTCGAAGTGCAGCCTGAGGACAACACAATGTCATCAGTGCCTTCCACTACTCCCAGTAGTGCCCTTTCACCCTTGTTTGGGGGAGAGTTCCCCTGCTAAAATAGACAAAAAAACAGTTGGCCACCCTTATTCTAGCCTCTCAAATCTGGAGGGGATGAGCATCAAAAAACAATTATTTAGGGGACCAACCAAAAATTATTTAGGGGACCAACAAAAATATTTAGGGGATCAAACAGCAATAATTGAGGACCTAGATTTTGCCAAAGGGACCACGGTGATCCTCGGCCGAATGCGACTGAACTTCGGCCCATCGGCCGATCGATCTGCCGAGGCTGGTTCGACGGCAACGAGGCGTTCGAGCGCTCCCGCGAGGCAAACAGCAGCCAGCGCTGCTTCCAGTGCCAACGCCTCCGGGCAGGACGCGGTCGGTCTCTCGCGGTCTCTCGCGCTCGTTTTCCGGCGCCGCAGGTTTTTGGGCGGACGCGAAAGTCTCCTTCAAGGTGTAAGTGTCTATTTTTTTGTAGTGCGAAACGAGCACGGGGATGCCTCAACTCAGCTGTTGGAAGAAATCGTAAACAAAATGCAGAAGCGGTCCCTTGGCACCTCTCAGAAATTATTCTTCTTAGAATTGCTGACAGGTGTTTCCTTGTCATATGATGGAGTCTGAAGGGAGAACGGTCCAGCTTGACTTTGAGTGGCAGCGTGACGTGATCAAAGAGGATCAAGTGAGCAGGTTCGAGACCCCCCCGCAATTCTGGACTCAGGTGGGTAGCAAAATGAAAGAGCTAGGGTTACGCAGGTTTTAGTCTTTGTGTCCCTTCCCCATGGTGCCATTTAAGATACGAATTTTTGAGCCATTTTCCAGGTGTCTCTTTTGTCGACTGGCAAGAGGACACATGGGCAGCGGCAAGATGGAGGGGCGGTACCTTTGCACTGAGTGCTGGGAATGCTGGTCCAAGATTCGGCGATGCCAGCAGGTGCTCCTGTCTGACATGTTTTTTTGTGTTTTTTTTCCCTCGCCGATCTGTTTTACGTTGATGGTGTTTACATTGTTACTCAGTTGCCACATTGCTTTCACAATGCTGAAGCACCAATTAAATGCTGGGCTGACCGAGTGAGCCTAACTTTGGATTTCCGGGTTTTCCCAATGCTTTCTATCAAGGGAGCCTGTTCTAATGCACGGCTTAGATTCAACTCAGGATGCGTGGAGAAATCCATCCAGGAGCCATGTCGCATGTGTGCGCTTGCCAAGGCAGAGCTGGAACGCCGCATCGAGAAGGCGACATACTCGGACTACAGCACGGGCACAGAGGAGCTTCCATCCCTAGATGATGTTCCTCAGGATTGGGACAGCCGCCATCCAATGTGGAACAGAGAGAACCTTGAGCGTCCTGATTGGCAGCTCCGGACTTCGAAAGCGCGGACGAAAGCTGCTTGTTCGCGGTGAGCTAAACTGCAGAGCTGTTTTTGGTCTCTTGGGCCATTGGTTTGGTGGCTTCGAGGTGTTAGTGATGTGAAGTTTGGGTCTCCCCATCAGGCTCATCGCGCTTACGCCGCCTGGCCTTGCGCGGACTGAGCTCCGCAATTCTGCCGGAGCCTTGGAAGCTGGGAATCGGCGGGAAGATCCGCTGCCGCCTTTTGCCACTTCTTGATGCAAGGGGCCAATCTGCAGAGCTGCACCCCGAGAATGACGAGTGTCAGAGGCCAGGCAAAGCTGAGCTTGGCGCAGAGATCGGGTGCCAAGCACTTTCGGAATCCGCGATGCATCGCAGAGTCGTAAGACAAGGAGCTCAAGCCATCCCGCTGGACATGCCGAAGTGGAGGGTGTTGACTTTGAAGCCAACACCCGCATGCCCAGCAGGATAGTGCTCAGAGGAATGCCCTTTTGAGTTTCTCACCGCTGGTGTGAAAGCTCCGCCTGTGGCGGTCCAGCAAGTCCCGTCTCCCTGGTCCGCGCAGCAAAAGTGGCCAGAAAACGGCGCCCCAATTGATGGTGCACCGACTTGTCGGCTGGAGCAAGCGGGAAACCACGTGGCACACGGTTGCTTGGCTACTCGAGTTCACTTGCACAGGTTTAGGGATCCCCAAAGAACCCATGTCACACCAACCATCGGGCAGGCAGTCGACTTGTACACGGAATTTGCCAAGCGCCAGGCGGGGAAACAACAGGAACTCGAAACGAGCGGAGAGAAATCCAGAAGCCCCTTCCGCCGTCCGCTGCCCTAAGTTCGAAGCCGCATCTCCCGGTTCCGGCCACGTCGTCAGGAGCCCGATGACATTTGCCATACTTCGGTGGCGCGTGCCTGAGCGCTATGCAGGCACATCACTGAAGCCTTGTGAGGGTCGTGGTAGAGGTGTGCACGTCCTTGAGAACTTCCTCCCCCACAATAGGCCCCTCAGACGCCTTGCTTTGCCAAGATCTTTTGCAATTCAATCTTGAGTGTCTATTTGTCAGAGGCGGAGGGGCACCTATTTGTTCCGAGGAGTCTGCACCTATTTGATCCGAGGGGTTTGGAATGGGCGCCTTTGGAGCAGTATGTGCTGTGGATGTTGCAATCAGGAGGGTTGCAATTGGCAATTCATCTGATTGCAGGCACTTCTGACGTGCTGGAACAACAGGAAACAAGGAAGAAGGGCGCCTCATGAAGCCACCAACATATGCAGCAATCATGCCAAGCTGCATGCGAGCAAAGCAAAGAGCTGGGAACACAGAGAAAAGGACTGGTAGGAATACAACGAAATTTTCGGGGAACAGAAGGGGGCAGCAAGACACGGCAGGACGCCAGTCAGGGACAACAACTCCGCCTTTCCTTCATTTGGCATTTTCGTTGCTGCGACGGAACTTTGGGTCCTTGTGTTTTTGTTTCAAGCATCGTGAAGTGGACTCATGCCTGGCAGCCAAGGTCAGTGCGTGCGAGCGCGCTTCACAGTGGGTGCATGCCCTGGTTGCTCTCGGGGCGCGGGCACTGCAGCCTGTTTTGTTTCGCGCAAGAAGATGCCAGAAGTGTGAAGGGTTTCCGAGCCACTTATATATGTATCTTTTTGGGAGGCTCCAAAAGTGGCGATCGTTTCAATGGAAGCCACCAGTAAATTGATCAACTTTTGATTTTGGAAATCCAGTGGCCCCTGGTTTGTGACAACTCGCTCGGTTCCAAGCTTGACATCTCCACAGAACTGCACCTTGCAGCCAAGTTTATGTGGCTCAATTTGTTGCAGGGGTGCGGCTGGGTCAATCTATCACGCCTATCTTGCCTGGACTTTTGGATGCGGTGTTCCATCGGAACCGGCCATCGGAACTGGTCTGAATCAGGCAACCCCCACTTGGTGGTTTGGATTGGTGGCTCGGGGATTTGCACCCCGGGTTCTTGCAGAGTGTGAATGGGAAACCACCCCCTAACCACCAATCCAAACCAATCCAAACCAATCCAAACCAATCCAAACCAATCCAATCCAAACCAATCCAAACCAATCCAAACCAATCCAAACCAATCGAACCCAATCGAACCCAATCGAACCCAATCCAAACCAACCAAACCAATCGAAACCAATCCAAACCAATCCAAACCAATCCAAACCAATCCAACCCAATCCAAACCAATCCAACCAAATTCAATCCAAACCAATCCAAACCAATCCAAACCAATCCAAACCGATGCAAACCAATCCAACCCAATCCAAGCCAATCCAACCAAATCCAATCCAATCCAAACCAATCCAAACCAATCCAAACCAATCCAAACCAATCGAACCCAATCGAACCCAATCGAACCCAATCCAAACCAACCAAACCAATCGAAACCAATCCAAACCAATCCAAACCAATCCAAACCAATCCAACCCAATCCAAACCAATCCAACCAAATTCAAACCAATCCAAACCAATCCAAACCAATCCAAACCGATGCAATCCAGCCCAATCCAAACCAATCCAAACCTCCAATCCAAAAGTGATTGAGAATCACTTTTGTCGCCAAGCGCTTGTGTGCCATCGGCCTCCCAATGGGACGCTAGCTGGGCAGTCCGAGCCGCGGAGACAGCGGCGCCGAGCCGCGGAGATGGGAGCAGATGTCATGGAAGGCAAGTGGCGAGCTCACCGATTCGGATTTGGGGTAAAAACGGGCGAAAGCCAGGGAAAAGATCCTTTACTTGGACTGGAGTCATTATTGTGACGGTTTCTGGGGGTTGGTTGGGTGCCTAAGGTTGCTTGAGTACTCATATTACGCCCGCGCCAGCTATGCCAGTACAGGCGTATTTGTTTTTGCCATGTAAGATATGCTGCAAGCTCAGCCAACTGCGGATCGAAGAACTGCCCACCGCCTAAAGTCAGGTTACCCCCCACTGGCTGTTTTTGACTACGTGGTCTGGATTTGCACCCCGAGGGATGGAAAAAATCGCCGAGCCACCGTTTGGCTCCAAACCGCCTGGTTTTGAGGCCAGCGCTCCGGGCGTGGAGGTCCCATGCGAGAGCAATCTGGCGGCGATGGCGAAGCTGCGAGGGGCCTCCGCGGAGGAAGCGGCCAGGCTGTTGCAAGCCATGGCCCGGGTGGAGGCGAGTTGCCGTTTGGGATGCGGAGCTGGGTGCTTTTTTCTTTTCGAAGGCGTAGCGTTCGGAGCAGTGGCGATATGGACCCCAGAGAAGGTGTGGAGGCAGATTTTTGCTTGCTTGCTTGCTTTTGTTGATGGCTCGCCGCTTGCCCGGGAGGCGCAAGTGGACCATTTCCACTGCGGGCTGATCATCGGCAAGGGCTCCTGGCAGCTGGCCCTTCGGGTGCTGAAGATGATGCCCCGTGGCCCGAAACGGGTCGCTGACCATACTGTGGATGGACGAAATCCGTTTCGCACCACTTTGAAACCATGAGAAACCTTTGTTGCTTGCATTTGCAAGGGAATCATCATTCCAGGGTTTCTTAGGTGGTGCAGGATTTCGTGCATGCACAGTAGGTTGTGCTCAAAAATGGATGGGTTCCGCTGGTTTTGCTTGGTTTCATTGCGAGATTTTCGGGGCCAAAAGACACCTGTGACTTGACTGGAACCCCAGTCCCGTCATTCTTGCCGCTCAACCTTTGCCGCTGAACTTGTCACTGTTGGTGGGGGCAACGCCATCACAGCGTCACGGCGCACCATCCATTCGTCCAACTGTTTCGTACCTGCACGCCCCTTCCAGGCGCGGTATGTCTGTCCGCGCGGCGGCGTCAACCTTCAACGCGGCCGCTTGGCGATTGATCCGAGCTTTTTGTTGGGAGCGTGGGCTACCTGTTTTGGGGCTTTGATGGGCTTATCAAGTACAACCCTGGCTTGAAACCCCACAACGTTGTGTTGCTCCTATCGAAAGATGGCAAACTCCAACGAGCCCGCTCTTTGCATCAACTGGTAATCAAGCTCGCCACGCATGACTTAGCTTAATCTTGGGCCTTGCGTCTGCCTTTGCAGCGAAACTTCCTCTTTTGTTGGTCAATGTTGGGGAAGACGGGAGGCAGCCCATCGGTTTTTTTGAGAGGATATCTGCGCAACCCCACCCCTCGCCTTTGTTCTCTCGGTGATTTTCGGGTGTTCGGAGCGCGAGACGCGAGTGACTCGCACTCAAGGCTATGACCGCCTGCGAGAAGCAGAGCCTCTGGCAGCGGGGGTCGTGGTTGCTGCTTCTGGCGCGGCAGCGGGCTGTGGCGCCAGACACGGCCAGAAAACGGGGGGGGGGGGGGAAAGAGGATATAAGAGGATGGGGGTGGGAGGAGGGTTTCTCAGTTCTGCAAAGTCGACCGGATCTGACCTGTTGGTCCATAGTCATGGCCCCAAAATGTTAACCTTGTGATCTGAGTCCTTGGGCAAGAGAGGTGTCCATTTGGCTGAAGACATTTTTCAGTACCCCGCCAGAGGGACGGTCTCTCTATGCTTCGAAAGCCAGAGGGCGCAAATATGTCGGAGATCCTCGGAGCAGAGGGCCCTGAACCCGAAGCGGCGTCCAAGTGCCGGTGTTCCTTGCTTTCCCGCTGACGCACAGTAGTATTTGTGGCCTTGCCGGCAAGCTGGGCGCTCAAAATGGGGTGCTGGAGCAGACGGCGCTTGGGACTCTGGCCTTTTCAGAGCTCATTCTTGCAAAAAGAGTGGCCATGAGTAGCCAGCCGAAAGGCTCCATTTCAAGGCTGCTGATCTTGTTGCCTGGGCCGAAGGTGAGCTACAACATCCGGCTGCGCCGATCGTGGCCCGGCTGCCTCGCATCCTTGTCCGAGATGCGGCAGCTGCTTCTCCAGCCGGATGAGTTTACCTCGTCTTCCCTGCTGGCGGCTCACAAGGCAGGAGAAGGAATCCAACCGAAGCATTTGCATTCGGTGTCGGGTGTTTGGAAAAGAAGATCAGCTTGATCAAACCCCGACCCGGAGATTCCCAGGCGTTCGTTCGCAGTTTTTGTGATACAGCCTTTGAGTGGGGAACGAGTCGTTGGAAAAGCTGACCGGTGCAGCCTTCGCAGTTTCCCACTCCTAGGCAGACACGAGCTGGAGACGCGCTGCAAGCCTCCTTAGCCTCATGACCCAGTTCCAGGCAGGTGTTCTATGCCACCCTGGGATTTTGCAACTGATTTTCAGCTCCCTGCTTCTTGACCATGAGCTTTTGAAGCCACAGGTTACCGTACCCTTGGCCGCAGCGGGCTGCCACCGTGACGCACGAAAGTTGGATTCAGGCTTCCCTTTCATTCAGAAGGAAGAGCAACCGCCTTTTTGAAGTTGTTTGTGGGTTGGAGAGAAAAACACAATATTTAAGACATTTGGTCCGACTATGGGACGAAAGGGTGCCAACTGCTGCTCAGTGAGAACGGAAAAGTCAAACGTGTTCCTGATAGAAACTCGGGCTCCCTCTCGAGCCTTCATGAAACCCTGTTGCTACAATGTTTGGACTTCGGCCCTTTCCAAAGACTACGCGAAGAAGGCGTCGCCCGCATTCCTGCTGCTAGCCAGAGCAAAACCAATGCATAACCAGTATTGCTGTGAACTCCCACTATTTTTGCGGGGGGGATACCTTTACCCAGGTTCCCTTTAAATTCGCGCCTTCTCTCCATGCTTTCCTCCCTAGGTCCAGGGTCAAAACCAATGGTACTACGTTGGGGTAGGCCATTTTACGCGCTTTTAGTGGGGATTGGGATGTTCACTGCAGGTCTGGGGCTAACCGGGATTTTGACCCATGGCCAGGTGATCCACTTTTTACTCGGACGGGGGAGTTCTGAAGGCCTGGCACCGGCACCGGCGCTCTGCGCTCTGCACGCCGTAGGTGCGGGTCACGGGCCCGGTGCAGAGCGCCGGCCTCCGCGCCGCCGGCGCCTGGCGCCGCGCCGCCGCGGCGGGCCGCTTCCGCGGCTGTCATTGGCGCCGCGCTAGCGGTTGGGGGGGCGGCGGCTCGGGCGACTTTTTGTTCGTGTAAAACAGCGCGAAGGTTGTTGTTTCCTGGGGTTAGAAACGGAGGTTTTGGGTTGTAAAACCATGTGCTTGACGATTTTTCCTTGGAGTTGTTCTAGGGATGTTCCTGATACCAACAAAACAAGCAGACAGATTTGAGGGGGGCAGAAGCTGGCCCACAAACGTGGGGGGTGGGGGGGGGGGGGGGGGGGGGGTGGGGGGGGGGGGGGGGGGTGGGGGGGGGGGGGGGGGGGGGGGTTGGTTGTTTGGGGGTTTTTTACACCCCTTGTTTTGGTGTGGGGGGGGGTTTCCCACACATTTCACCAAACGTAGCGATCGAAATTTGTTGGACACTTCGACATGGTTGCCCTGCCGGTCAGTGGGTACGTGGCGTTTTCCCATGAACACCGCGCGAGAAAACACACCTTTTCATATCAGGCTACCTGGCAAGTACGTAACACTGTCAGCAGCAAAACTCCCCACAAAAACCAGGGAGTCACTAAATTCACTAAATGTAAATGTTTCCTTGGAACTTGCGGTTCTGACCATGGCTCAGATACTTATGTGAAAATGGGATTCCCGCATTCCGACAGAACAAGAAGACCTCCGCATTCGGATGACCCGAGCCAACACTTGACTGCGGGCTCGTTCAAGGCATCTCAACCTCCAACACCCTCAGATTCCCATGGTTTCAAATCAACCTTGGGTGAAAAACATGGAACTTTCAGTTCCTTTTTTTTGGGGGAGGGTTCCCCGGCCGAAACTGTGTTGACCAGTGGTGCTCTTTTTTCCTTTCTTTTTGGGTAAGGGTTCCCTTGAAACTCCACCAACAAAAAAAGTGCCCTCGTTTTCCCATGGAAATCCACTGAGCCTCTGAGTTGAAACCAACACTTCTAGGGGTTGATTCCCCATTCTTTTCAGCCATCGTTCTCTTAAGCCGATCGGCATTTCCCCCGACTTTTTGCTGGCTTTCTAGAAAGCAGTGTCCCTGGGTTCAGAATGGAAATGGAAGTTGCCCCTAGAAAGATGGCACACCACCATTCCCCAAAAACCAGCTGTTTCCTCAGGGTTTAACGGCTGGTTTTCCAAACAAAATAAATTCGGATTCCTTCAATGGAGAAGTTATCCCTAGAAGCGACTCCTCCCACCGAGGTCCTGGCGCTGGCGGCCTCCGACGGCGCCTGGCGCTTCGCCCTGCGGGTCCTCTCGGCGATGCGCCGGGCGCGGGCGCAGGTCAACGAGGTGTGCCTCACGGCGGCGGCAGCGGCCTTCGAGGCCGGAAAGGAGTACCTCACCCGCCTTCCCACCTCCCCCCACTTGTTTTTTTGTTTTTGTTTTTTCTCCCGGGGGGGAGGGGGGCGAGATGGTGAGGTGCGTTTGTGAGTGTGGTGTTTTTGTTTGTTTTTGTTTTTTTGTTTTTTTCTTCAGTTTTTTTCCGAGAGGGGGGGGGGAATGGTGGGGTGCATGTGTTTTCGTCCTTTTTTTCTGAAAGGGGGGGGATGGTGGGGTGCCTTTGCGTGTGTGTTTTTTCTTCTGTTTTCTTCTTTCTTCTTTTCCGAAGGTGCCTTTGTGTGCGTGTGTGTGCGTGCGTGCGTGCGTGCGTGCGTGCGTGCGTGCGTGCGTGCGTGCGTGCGTGCGTGCGTGCGTGCGTGCGTGCGTGGGTGTGTGTGTGTGTGTTTTTGGTTTGGGGGAGGATGAGAGGGTGGAGGGGGCGCGTTTCCGTGTTCTTGTTTTCTTGGGCACCCTGCCTGGGGGACTGGGGTGTGAAGTTCCTCACGACGACCTGCTTGGCCTTTTTTTTTGGGTCAGGATTCCCGACTTGGACCCCCAAACGCCAAGAACCCGCCTAAACCCCCAAACGCCAAGCACCCGTTTTTCAAGGCACGTTGGGGTCACGGTTTAGCATTGGTTTTTGGAACTAGCATATTCTAAAAAGTAGCAGTTATTGGGGATCCGGTCTGAACAACACATATTTAATGATAGGGTAAATTAATTCAAAGGGGAATATAATATCTACTTGGTTGTTCTTTTGACCAGTACAAGTTGCCTTCTTCTTCTTCTTCTTCTTGTGCTGAACAAAAACTCAATAATCAGGCGTGCGAGTCACATTCAATCGCATTTCGCCAAACGCAACGGAAACAGGTTTGAACCATGTTCGAAGCATCATCTTCCGTACCCTCTCAACATGGAAGTGCGCAGGCAGGGGATTAAGCTCATATTCCGGAAGCCGCTGTACCAACAGGAGAGGTTGGGAAGACTCGCGTCCTTTCAAAAAGGGGCATTTGCAGAGCACGGAACGGGTTCTCTTCAAAGAAACAGTAGTCCACTGGCTTCAGACGCCAGTAAACACCAAAGGATAATCATTCCCCCACTTGCCTTTCAAGCATGGATGCTGCCAGACCGCCAGGATGCAGGAAGCATTTGCTTGCGAGGCCCCGCCATCCAAAACCATCTGGTTGGGGAGACACTGAAGCCCAACGAAGGATCCATCGGATTGGCGCCGGGCAGTGTTGGCCCTCGCGCCCCTGCCGGCCATGCGCGTGGCTGCGGAGTGGGTCAGCTGCCAGGCGAATTGGCTCTTTCCTTCGGCTTTTAGTTGGTGTTTTGTCGGTGTTTGGTTTGGTTTGGTGGGGGGTTCCGTTTAACCCACAAGTTATTTGAGCCAGGGCCTCTTTGCTTTGACATGTTCCCACAGAGACAGTCATGTGCCGCACCCACAACGGAAATGGTTGGTGCCGTGCACGGCTTTGACGCCGACTTGTTGAGGATATCACCACCCCCCTTAATCCTTGATTTCGGGGGGGGAAGGGGGTCAAAAATGTAAGTTACATTGTTGGGCTCAACTTCCCTGAGACAGCGCGTCAGCGCACGCGCCTGCGCGCGCCTCCCCAGCTGCCCTTGGAAGACAGGGTTTGCTTTGGCCTGCCAAAAAGCTGGGGACGGGAACGTCGCATTGTCAAGAAGAGCAGGACGGATGCATTCACAGCTTGAATTACATGGCAGTTGCCACAGCGAAAGCGACCCTTTTCGCGCCTCTGGCACGTGAGCGCAGTGCTTCAGCCAGGCCCTGTGCGGCCACTGGCGGCTGAGCCTCCAGCTGGCCGGCTCGCAGCTTGCCAGTAAACTGATCGTGACTGGCGGGAACCCATATTCCTCGGATTCCATGGCGCATGTCAACCCGTGTGGGTGCAGTAATGGACACTTCCAAACATAGGTGCGACTGTATGGATGTGGGTGTTCACCTTGGATCATGACTCAAATTTGGGAAAGCCATGCTGTGGATGTACAAAATCCTGCACCACTTTGACATCATGGAAAATCACTGTTCGTTGGCATTAACGTTGGAATCGACTCATTCCAGGGTTTCATGGATGTCGCAACCATCCAAAGCAGTTTTGCCTGGCTGCTTCTTGTGCACCCGTGTCTTTGAGTGGGGTGCTCGGCGTGGCGGCGATCTCCAAAGCGCGCGGATGGCAGCTCTCCTTGCAGTCGCTGGGCGGCTCGGCGGCGTGGAACGCGGCCAGGGGCCCCAGACCGTCAGGCTAGAAGCTCCACGTCTCATCCGAAGGTAGCTTTAGATTCTTTTGCCCACTGTAAGGGATGGCCATTGTAAGGGACTCGAAATCCTGCACCACCTAAGAAACCCTGACCAACGAGCGTTATGGTTTCCCATGGTTTCAAAGTGGTTCGAAATGGATTTCGTCCATCCACAGTATTCACATCCCCCAACTGAGCGGATCGGCCTTGCCCGGCCCACTGCGCTCCGAGTTTTGAGGCCATGTTTGCCACCAGCTGGCAGCTGGGCCTCGTGCTACTGGGCACCTTGGCATGTGGATTGAATCCGATAGGGACTGCTCCAAACCAGGTTTTTCATCACTGTTGGTGGCAAGTGTTTTTTTGGGGGGGGAGGGGGGAGGGCCTGCACAAAACACATTTTGTTGCAACCATGCCAAGGGTTGTTGCTTGTCACATCATTTTTGTCGGGGACAGAAGCGTTCACGTGTTGCGCTGGCATGGCACTTATCCAGCAGCAGCACACCCTCTCGGGTAGCTGCTTGTCTTTCACCTTGCTGCTGGCATGCTGCTGGCGTGCTGCCGGCATGCTGCTTGGTGTGGATGACTTTTTGACCATTCGCGAGAATGGGAACTGTATGCATCATGTTTCCACAGGCTTGGGTGTGTCACAGCAGGCAGAGTGGTTCTCATTCATTGTGACGCCTCAGGCAATGCCATTTGCCACAGCGTAGCGGACCAGATGCTAAGCGGCAAAGAGAGGCTGCTATGAAGTATTTAATTACATGGGGCAGTTCAGCGGAGGCATGTCTGTTCACCCTTTCAAGAAACGCATTGTCAGCTGGGACGCCTTGGTTTGTTTCAAAATTGCGATGACGAAACAAATTGTGTCGAATCTTTGGCGTCCATTGACACAACCCCCACACCCCCAACCCCACCCAAAAAATGAATAAACTCACAAATGAACAGATAAATTAAATAAAACCAAAATCAACAACACCAAACCTAGTGGGTGTCCATTGAAAACGCGCCTGGGTCCCATTGACAAAGCAACTCAG